TTCAGGACCCTCAATGAAGTAACTTTGTATATTCAAATCTGAAAATACACTTAGCTTACTGTACATTAACGCATTTTTGTCATGTGCAAAATAAAAACTTTAATATTAAATCTTAATATTAATTGAGTGAAAAGTGTTTTCATCTCTCAACTTGCCATTAGTATGTTTTGTGTGTTTGCAGGTTTTCTACTTCATGAAACTATCAGGTTTGCAGTACACGCACCAACTTCGAATCCCAAGATCCTGCCTGAAAAGTTAGATGAATTAGAAAACCTTGCAGAGTTACAAAAAAAGGGAACATTTTACACCTGCCTCATCAATTTCACAGCCAAAAGGGTCTCTAGAGTATTGCCCTTCTCTCTGTTTTCAAAGAGGATTTTCTACTAGTAGTTGGTATTTTTTAAAATACACATGCTGTGCCATTTTACATTAAGCTATGGAAAAGCACAACTGTTTAGACCAGCAATTTTTCTTATACATAGTATTTCACTACTTACACAGTGAATCACACTGTCATCACAAAACTGCCTGTTCATAACATCAGTTAGATAAACTTTATCAGAAAGTTTGGTTGAAGTCACGATCAGCCTTCTTACTCTGCAGGTGCAGCTCATCATCAGTTCCCCCATGGTGCCTCTCCATACATAGAAAGTGAAAACTTGTGGAAATCCTACTTTCTCTCAGAGTTTACCGAATTCAGGTCTCAGAGAAAAGAGAAGTTCGGTGCCTCTCCATACATAGAAAATGAAAACTTGTGGAAATCCTACTTTCTGTCAGAGTTTACCAAATTCAGGTCTCAGAGAAAAGAGAAGTTCACACTTGGTGAATCAAATGTTACCTACTACATATGCTTGAGGTTGTTCCCTGATGCCATTGTCTATACAGAGTTGTAACCCTAAGCTTGAAGCACATATTAAAACTAGACAAATTTGCTATACAACCATTTGATCGATTTTGTAATAGGTTTCCAGTTATTTAAAGAAACCAAGAGTTAGTTTCTGAGCCAACTGCTGTACTATCATGTATTCTTGTTGGCCTCAAACTCTTCAGGTTTGGGCAACAACTACTTTTCCTTAGATGCCAGTAATGTAAACAAAGTGCAAATATAAATACAGAACAAAAATGAGAAGTGGGACTTTATTATAGGAAAAACAGCACTTGAATTTTTTTTCAGGATTTAGGTAATGTTAATTTTTCCTTAGTAAGACTACTGCAAAGGAGACACTTTCAACAAAACTGTGAGAATGCAGGCTATCAAGAAATCATGTGTTAGCAACAGTGTAACTCCAGAATCCCAAATCTCTAAACATTGGGTTCCTCTTCAGGGACAGATGCTTTACCGTGGTGTTGATCATGGTTGCCCTGCATATTTTGACATGAAGTCATCTTTTGACAACTTAGTGCTAAAAAAGTAAGAATGAATTTCTTATTCTTCATTCTCCAAAAGGCTAATTAGAAATACTCTCTAGTTTTTGTTGCCATGAATGAGATATCTTAGAGTTCTTAAATAATGCCTGATGATCAATGGCACAATATTTGCAAATACTGTAATTCTACACACTTGAAAGCATTTTAAATATTATTTCTCATTTTATTTTTCTTGATTGCTAATGCCAAACTGCTTGTCACTCAGCTCACTGACAGGAACAGCTCTACCCCATCAGCATAGTGAATACAATTTTGGCCTTTTACACTTCTTAAATAACAGTAACTTTTGTTGTTTTCAATATACTTGAAGGAGATATTTAAAGCAATTTTAAAAGCCCTGTAATTTGCTTGTACATTAAGTGAATTTATAGACTAGTAAATCAGTCCTTTGTAAGGGCCCAATAGAAGATGTACCACCTCTAAATGTAAATAAAAACAATCCTTAAAAATTCAGTATGTTTGTCTCCTTTCTCCTCTCCAGTTGCAGCACTAACTTTTTTTCATATCTGCTATTGCAGTTTACCAAAAAAAAAGAATTGCATTTTTTAAACATTCTGCTTAGAGAAAAATATGCTCATTGTATGAACACCAATCTTTCCTTTGCATATATAGCCTCATATGAGGAACCAAGAACCCAAAAGACAGAAAATATCTACCAAATAATATATATTTAAGAATTCATTGTCAGCAAACATTCTAAGTCAACTCTGTGATCCTCAGACAACTCTGACCCCCCATTAAGCTGTGTATCTACTAGTTGCATTCAAATTCATATTTAAATCATAACTAGTATAGAAACATTTCTAGGTTAGCCTACACAGCTTTAAATAATTGTTCAGTCTGAATATTTTAAATAAGCACTGGCTTTACTTCAAAAAGCTTAGAAATGGAAAAAATAAGAGTTTTCTGGATAATGTAATAGTCCATTTTATCTGAACAGAAGCTTTAACTAATACAGTATTGTCCACACACCAGGGAAGGTAAAATCATGGTGTATCAATAGGACAATTCCTGTGAAAAAAAAAAAATCACAAAAATGACATAGGCTCTTTGATTTGAAGCAGCCAACACACCTGAGATTACACAAATAATTTAAAGAGAAAACAGATATTTGCCAACAAATTTAATACTACTATATTATGTACTTTACTATCTACACACAAAACCTCATACAATACAAAAAAGGTCTCAAGATACAGAAAGTCCATGAAATAGCAAAAGCTAGCTATTTTCAATCAGGTTTTAATCTCTCATAATGATCAGTACCATATGGAAATTATACAAAAAAATACAGTTTTGACCATGAATTTTTATTCACAATATTTAACATCTTATTTATATGAATTATTATTAAAAACCCCACATCTATAGTGGCACTAAAAAAGGTAAATAATGCCCTTCCATTCAAAGAAATGATGGGCAGGGGGACATTTTTATAGAAGAAATAGGTCTCAAATTTATGCAATTTCCAGTGTGAATTTTTAAACACTATCTTCTATCACATTTACAGTACAAATATTCTGTTTCTTCTTGCAGAGGAGCAATTTCTTACCTTTACTTCTCGTAAGAAATAAACAAAAAAAAAGTGCTTTAAATCTATATGAAATCAAGTACCTATAGAGAAATGGGATCATTTCAATGCTGGTGATTATATACTATGTACTTGATTAAATTTCAATGCTGGTGATTATATACTATGTTCCTATTAAAATAAGAAGTTCATCACTCAATCTCTTTAAGGAACCTTCTGTAGATTTGCACTTTGTACACCTGAACAGGTAACTGTATTTGTTCATTTTTCCAATGCCCACACTGCGCATACTTGTATTTTTTCTTACTACAGTCAGGTTTCTAATGTAGTTGTCCATACTTTAAAAAAAACACAAACTTCCTCACCATACTCTCAGTTCTTGAAATAAATTGAAATTATGAAGTTGCTGGGTAAAACATAAGCCTGTTGTTTGCATAACTCCATTGACCTCTCATTTCTCTCTCTCTAAATATTCTTAATCCGGTAGACTCTGCAAATACAGACCTTGAGTATCAGCACAACCAAGATGTTCCTATTACCAATTTATATGATTACCAATTTATATGCCTTAATATTTATCATTATAATACTTCTGTTGAACAGCAGGTTCACCTACTGCACAAACACAACTGAAATGAGGAACTAAGTTACGAAAGAGATGAAATCTAAAAGTGACAGAATCAAATTCAAAGAAAAAGAAATATTACTGTATAGTGAAAAGCAAAAATAAAACTTATTTTAAAATATGGGACACATAAATCACACTATACTCAGTATTAAAACTTCAGCTCCCTGTTTTTTAAGTATATAGCTGATTTAGCAAAACAGAGCAAAAAAAAAAAAGTGAAGGCAAAGCAAGAGACCAGTTCTTACAGTCAGTGAAACTTAAATGTGTTCCTGGGACTCAAGAGCCTTGCAGCCTAACATATGTTTGTAACAGCTTTCTCATTAAACCCATTAGAGAAATTAGAAATGTATTAGAGAAAACGTGGCACTAGCTCAGAAGTTCACCAACCTAGTCCAGTGTTATCACTTTGCAAATATCCAATATGATAAAGGAAGAACATGAGCATATGCTTAAAGCAGAAAGTAACAGCACATTGCAAATAAAATTCCAATTACACTATTTTGCTAAGCTTTTGCTTTTCCTATATTCCCCTTTTCATTTGAAGAGTGACAAACTCTATAAAGGTGAAGAAACTATGTATCACAACAAGAAAATACATGATGCAAATTTGTTTTATTTTAAGGAATCCTATCCATTTTTTTTGGTTTTGTTAAATACATGGAAAAGAAATTTGAATATCCTAGTTCTGACATGATCAGATTAATAAAAAAGGAGACAAAGCATAAAAAGTAGAAGGATTTGTTTTACTGCTTCATCAGTTGAACTGTATAAAACTATCTGCTCTTGTATTCATATCTAAAATCTCAGTAGACAAAGCATATAATGTAATCCAAAAAGAAAAAAAAAAATCAACACAGGTATTGCTACTGCTTTATTAAACCTGCAGCTTGACTTTGTAATTTAATGGCTATTTGGAAAAAAAGTCAAACACTTTTATTGCTATTATGACTTGAAATAGCTCAGTGAAATTTGAAATACTTCCATAATTCTCAGGAAGCCAAAATTCTGTGTCTTGCAAGAAGGAAAAATTCCACGACTTCAAAAACAGAACAAAGCCAAAATAAATTCTTATCTGCCTATCATTAGTTCATAGCCACAAAATTTTCCTTTGAACAGCATGTACACTTTTAAAAACAAATTGTGTAAAACACTGAATTTTTATAAAACTCTGCCTACCCAGAAAGACTAACTGATAAATAATAAATAGCAAATAATTCAAGTAAAACAATCTTAGCAAAGTCAATTAAGGATGAATTTAGTCAGCATTCACTGTAATATTTAAACAGAGTTGGCGAAACAAAAGTTACTACAGTGATCATCTTTATAAAGACGAGCAATAAATAAACAGTATGTCCTTAGCAGTGCCTAGAAGATACAGTTCAGATAATTAGGAACAATGGCATCATATAGTACCTTCCATTGCCCTTTTAAAGAAGACTTTACAACTTCCACAGGTAAGTACTCCATAGTGGCAACCAGAAGCCTCATCACCGCAGATGAGACAAATCTTCTGGGGTAGTGATTCAAAACTGTACTGGGAACCTTGGCTGTTTTCTGTATCTGGCCTTCAAAAGGAAAAGAACGGAAAGAAATGAAAGATCTGCTTTGCACAGTTCACTACTTACCTGTATTAATCAGTGTTATATTAAAAACTTCATTTTAAAATTGCTAATCAAGCTACATAAGGACAAGCAAAAAATAAGTATACTTTTCTGCTTAAAGGCTTGTCTCTACAATGGCACTGCAGGAAAGCAGTGGGCAAAAGGCATAAAGTTATATTTTAATCTATTTCAACAACAAAACCCCCATACAATCTATAAACTTTTTGTTAAAATGTTTATCTTCCTCAGATATGCAACTCTTGTGAGCGGTCACAGTGACTGACACTCTTTTTTCCTGTACAGAGACAGAAACAGATACAAGTCAACTGAATTTCAAAGGCCTCTTTCACATGGGAAATAACTAAATTTCATCTCTCATAGAAAAATCTTAACAACCAGTTTATCACCCCCCATTCAATTGCAGCATTCTCAGCAGTAACTAACTCTGATAGGGGTATCAGGCATATTTGCCAATTTCTCACCAAGAAAAGGCCTAGTTGACCATTATGTTTACAAAAATAAAGGATGTCCGTTGAAACTGTAACATTGTAGGTATGTTTTCACCGATTTCTAGGTAAGGCACACCACGGCAGGAAAGTTTCATTCTAGCAAATCAATTAAGAAGTGTTCTATTTTTTTCGTGTGAAATCAACTAGGGCTTTTTTTTCAAATCAGGAATAAATGTTTTGGAGAACATTTAGGTATTGACAAATATGGTCTCGCGGTCAATAAGGACAATCTGGAGAACACGCTGATTCCCCTCTCTGGATGCGGCCAGAGGCTCGGACATCGCACGGCAACTCAACCACCGCTGCTAACAAACCCACCTGCCCTGCAGCGTTATGGTGCCGAAAGAGCCGAGACGCGACAGCTGCCAAGCTAAGGCTGCGCTGCTCTCACAGCGCCCCGGGACACCTGGGCGCGCTCGGACGGAGCAGAGAATGTTAACAGAGCCGCAGGTACCGCCCAAGCACTCCGAGCGTCCTGGTCTCGGCACCC